GGCCGCGTCAGGCTCTGCGCCTGCTTCTCTGTTTCCGCGCTCAGGGTGTATTACTTTGTGGTAAGGAAAAAGAACTACAAACTTCATTTTTTAAAAATCACATGGGGGCCTGATTGGCCGGCCTGTCCCGGGAATTCCGCAAGTTTGGGCCCAGTTTCTATGACCTCTACTTGAATGAAGTCTGTGGGAGAAATGACCCATCCTTCACATGTGCTGGGACTCACTTTTAAAAAAAATATATCCTCACCCAAGGATATTTTTTCCATTGCTTTTCAGAGACGGGGATGGCAGAGAGAGGGAGAGAGAGGCATCGATGTGAGAGAGACACTGACTGGCGGCCTCCCGGCTCCATCCCGCCAGGCCCGGGATCAGCCTGCAGCGAGGTGCGTGCCCTTGGCGGGACTCAAACCCGGGACCCACGCTCTAACCACTGAGCTGAATCCCGCGTTACTCACTTTCTTTAAGAAGAAAAGAAGGGCCCTGGCTGGGTAGCTCAGTTGGTTAGAGCGCTGCCTGATAGCCAAGGTTTCGGGTTTGATCCCCGGTCAGGGCTCATACAAGAATCAACCGACGAATGCATGAATAAGTGGAACAACACATCGATGTTTCTCTCGCCTCTCTCTCTCTCAAATGAAGGAGGGGAAGGAGGGAGGGAGAGAGGGAGGGAGGAAGGAAAAAATTGCTCCCAACCTCAGGATAGGGTGGAGTAAATGTTCCAAATGGACCAGAAGCTGGTTTCCCTGTTATCTCCGAGGACATATGACTATTGAGGATTGTTGAGGACAGGGACTTATTTCAGAAAGGGGCAGTTAAAAAGCCAGCATTTACTAAGCACCTACTAGGTGCCATGTGCTGGCAATGCAGCCATGAGGCCAGTGTCTTGCCCGTAAGGCGCTCTGGGCTGCCCTTTGAGGACGTTCATCAGAGCTGCGGTGCTGGGGGGGCCTCACCCTCCCGCTGTTGAGGCAGAATCAGCAAGAACATCGAAAGTGGCCATGAGAGCCACAGCTGCTGTGCCAGGTCCCGGAGGCAGAGGGAACAGCTCTGGCCCCACAGCAGAAAAGCTGCACTGGCCACCCAGGAAGCCACGGCATCCCGAGGGAAAGCAGAGGCTGGGTCCTTCGGGCTCTGCTGGGAGGCAGCAGTCACAGGCCTCTGAGGTCCACTTCACGACCAGGTTGGGCCCCCAGAGGGCTGCTGTGACTGGGGAAGTGGGGGCCTTCCTGGGCGGGAGCCCCAAGCTAGGACCTCATTTGTTCACTCAGCCATTCAAACGTGTCAAACGCCTCCCTTTGCAGGACACCTCGGAAGTGACACCTGCCAGTGGAAGTGCAGAAAGAGCAGCTGGTGTTTCCCAAGCTCTCGGGTCATCTTGCATGGCTGACCTGCCTCAGTCACCTGTGGGATTTTCTCAGAACTTGCCAGTCCACCCACAAAATCCCCATTTTTCGGCCTGGCCCAGCCAAGATGGAAAGCCCCTGGTCACATGAGTCTCTAAAGAAAATGCACCAGGATGAGAGGAGATGAAACTGTGGGGGTGAAGCATGTCTCTGCTATGTGGAGAAACCTTGACAGACCCCATGTGCCTCCAGATGTGACACTCAGAGGGCATGTGACCCATGCAGATCTAGAATCTCACTCAAGGTGACACAGTAAGGTAGAACCCATCTCTCCTTCCCAGCTCAGTGCTTCTGAAGACCAAGCACTGCCCGCTTGCTCTCAGGCCGTGAGGGCAGCCACTCGGAAAAGAAGCCATTCACTCTGTCCCTGTAGCTATGTTCCCGCAACTGTGCTGTGAGGAGTGCGGGGCCTTGGGCTCCGGGAGAAATCTTCCCCCGTACACCTTTTTTCAATAACTTGTGTTTTCCCTGTAAAATGTTTCAGACACCAATGCCCTCCAAATGGGAACAGAGAGCCCAGTGGGCAGCGTTGGACAGAGATGCTTCATGAGAGGAGGGTGCATGGCCTGGGCTTCTGAGGGGGTGGAGGGATAGATGAGCAGGGGCTGGCAGGAGTCCTGCCACCAGTCTGTGGGCAGACAGTGTGTCTTCTCAGGGAGCTAGCCCAGGACAGTGCTGGCTGACCCATCAGGAGGGGTGACCATAAAAGAGGAGGGGAAACATAGAAAGTGGGGCCCAGGGCCTTCTCTCAGAGACCCATGGGCTGCTGGTCAAAGCAGAGTGTTGGCTGAGGGGAAGAGGCTGGTGACATGGGACAGGAAATGAGGGATTCAGATGGGGAGGGGGCAGGCTACTGGACTGGGGCTGAACGTAAGGGGGTTTGCTAAACAAAGCTTCCCTCTCCTCACTTCTCACACCCTGGGCCTTCAGCAGGGCACTGTGGCCTGCTGTTGAGGAGGTGGGCATAGCCGGGGAGGAGGACCCTCATTCCTATGGGCGCACACCCTTAAGAAACAGTGTGCATGGTGGGGACAGAAGGAACTGAGGCTAGCCCTGGTTGGAACTTAGTGTCCACCACAATTTACCCATGACCCAGGGCCAAAGGCTCAGCCACCACAGAAAGGTCAATAGAAGCTGAGCATGGAACTAGAGCGTGGACATGTGATTAGCTGGGTGGTGGGGGCTAGAAACAGAGATGAAAATGTTTGATACTTGCCCTGGCTGGTTGGGTTGAGGCGTTAGAATGCCCACCCATGAACTGGAGGGTCTCAGGTTCGGTTCCAGTCAAGGCCACGTACCTCAGTTGCAGGCCCTGTTCGGCTCGCGTGCGGGAACCAATCAACGTGTCTCTCTCACATAGATGTTTCTCTCTCCCCCTTCCTTCTACTCTAAAAAAAAAAAAAAAATCAATGGGAAAAATATCCTCGGGTGTGGATTAACAACAAAAATGTTTGACATCCAAATGTACTTAAAGGACCTGCAAGGAGGCAGGTGGTGTGATGACCCTCATCCTAGGAAAGGGTCAGGATCCCAGGGGCCTGGACCGCTGACCGCTGGGGACCAGCCAGCCGTAGCATTCTGGAGGCACTGTGGTTACGAACAGTAAGCTGCACACATCTCGAGTGTCAAGCTGATACATTTTACTTGTATAACCACTGCCTGTTTCCAGCATCCCGGAAGGTTCACTTGTGCCCTTTTCCAGTTAACACTCTCGCCCCCACACACACCCCTGGGTAACCACGATTCTGACCTTGGAATCCACAGATTTTGCTGTGCCAGTTCCGGAGATTAATATAAATGGAATCATTCAGTATGTCCTCTGTGTTTGGCTTCTTTGCTCAACATAATGTCTGAGACTCATCCACGTTGCTGCAGCTCTCGGTGATGTTATTTTAATTAAATGCAGTGTCCTGTCTGACTACACAATTCATTTATCTGTTCCGTACTGATGGGCGTTCAGGTGTTCCTGGTTTGGGGCCATCCTAAAGAAAGCTGCTGTGACCCTCCTGTGGGGTCTCTGGTGGACATGTGCCTCCTCCTGGGAGTGGGACTGCTGGCCCGAAAGGCAGCTGTATCTTTAGCTTTAATAGGTACTACCCAATAGCTTCTCAGAGTTGAGGGGTGACTTTTATAAGCCTCGAAATGAACGTATAAAGAAGTAGAGGGGGAGAGGAAAGAAACATATTCCTTACACTGTGCCCAAGATGGATTCTTTCAGTAAGTTTTGAGCACCTGCTATGAATTGGTGAAAGCTGGGCAGAGCCTCTTCCCCCTCCCACGTGGCCTGACCTTCACCTGTCCTCACTCCTCCAGGGCAGCTGTACCTGGCCCCCGGCCGGCACTCCCGGGGGGCACAAGGGAGGCTTTGCCGAGTGGAACTGGTGCCAGGACTCCGCAAGGTACATCACCAGTTGGCAGTACATCGGAACACATCCCCCACCAGCTGCTGAATGGTTCTGACAGACCCTCCCTGTGCTTAGCTCAGCCACGCAGGGAAAGAAATCAAGGTCATGGCAGCTCTTTCACGTCACGCCTCAGCAACCTGCATCACGGGCTTTCAGACAGATCCAGAGCAATTCCCTTCGATCTATGTGGAAAAGGCATTTACAGTTTCTGAAGCACAATGGCCCCCACGGGTGCCAAAGCTCCTGCTCACCACTTTCCTCCAGCTCACAGAGCAAACGGCCTCTCTCCCTTCCAGATGCACCCTACTTATACCACAGAGGTCAGCTCCTGGGATGCCTAAAAGGGAAACCCTGCCTCCTAGAGCCTGCTGTGTTCTGGGCAATAAAACCTGCCTTTCTATTGAGCAGGTTTTCCCAACCGCAGCACTATTGACACCTTAGGCCGGAAAATTCTTTGAAACCCAGGGCTGTCCTGTGAATTGTGGGACACTTGGCAGTATCCCTGGCCTCTACCCACTAGATGCCAGTAACACCCCCCTGTTGTGACAACCAAAAATGTCTTGAGACATTGCCAAATGTCCCCTGGGGGGCAAAAATCATGCCTGGTTGAGAACCACTGCAGTACAGAAACAAGTGTTTAAAGAAACGCCAACCAGTGCGTTCTCTCCCTAGAAGGGAAAGATCAGCTTCCCGAGACAATCAAGCTGGATCAAGTGGCCTCCTTTGTCCACAAAAGGGGTTTTAATCTTGGCAACCAAAACAAAACAATCTTGGCAACCAAAACAAAAAACCACACTATCTACTCTGGTAAATCGGAAAGAAAAACTGAAAGACAAATGAATTTGGGAAACCAGAGGTAAGAGGACTCGGAGGTAAGAGGAACAATGGGGGAGAAATTGCCTCTGTAAATTCCCGTTGGGGAGGTGACACACCGGCCACGGTTTCCCACATCCGTGACTCAGACACCAAACACGAGGCCACAACTAACTTCATGATAGCACTGGTGTGGGGTTTACACTCCAAACCTTGTGTTTTCAGGAAGTGTCCCTACACCAAATCCCTCTCATTGTATAAAAATACATACGTGCGGGCACACATGCACACACACACACACACACACAACTTTGCCCTATTATTTTATTAAATCAGTTTTAAATGTACGTTCTGGTATTTTTTAATTTTCTTACTGAGTCCATTTTTTTTTAAAAACCATACAAAATATGTTTAATATATCTTAGAAAATTAGCAAAAAATTAAAGAATTTTCAGCATATTACATTGCACAACATTTAGGTAAGAATGTTTGAAAATCATAAATATTTTGTTCCCTTTCAACATGGCACATGACAAAAATACACTTTTAAAACTTTCTTCATCTATGATTCCTATAAACGATCACATTCCTGTTCATTAAGGTGAAGGCCTGATTACGATGAGCATTCCCACACTCCTGAAACACCTGTACAGTCACTGCAACAGTAAACCACAGGGTGCGTCAGCACGTTGACAGCTGAAACCAATTTAAATCTTAGGAGGCATTCAATTAGTCTCAAAATATCACTCCAAACGGGGTTTACTTGGTTCATCTATGTGCTTTGATTCAGAAATACAGCAGGTCCTTGAAAAACATGATTTTGTTCAACACTATTACAACGTTGATGAGATGCTAGGAAACTTAACTCTGGCCTTTATGAACCGGCCTGCAGTAAAACTGGTTTTGCTGTACGTCACTTCGCTTAGGGTCGGAAAGCCTGTTGATGATGTTAGGTGAGGACTCACTGTATCTGAGCCAAAGCACTGTTTAAAGGATTTCTGCCGCCTAGACAGTGCTACCAAAGCCAGGATGTTAGTGACACCGTGCATTAAACAAACCTTCTGCACAGCCACACACACACGGACTGCGGCCGCTCAGTCGAGGGGGCCAGCTCGACGTGCAGCTGCTGACTTGTCTCGGAGCGGCACAGTCAAGGGCATCCCACATGAGCTGCCATGCAACTGGCCAATCTACTTTAGAAACAGATACTCGGAGGGCACATGCTGGCAAAGGAAAAGACAGACCCCGGCCCACAGACGTCTGATCATCTGTGATCCTGAGCACCAGCCCCCGCTCCCCACAAACACGCCGACAAAGTGGCGCAGACAAGAATCTGAGAGCTGCACAGGAATTTCCAGAAGCTGCAGTTTTCAAAAGAGTGTATCGAGAGCCTGATGGTGTTAACGTTTTTCCTTTCCAGGTAAGTCCTTGTTTGCAGGGAGATAACCAGGCTTCCTCCGTATAGGGGCCCAACAGGAGAATGAAGGAAGAATTAGAAGCAGCAAAGCCAGTGCCTTTCGTCTTTCGCATAAAGCTTTCCAGCTACACACGGAAGCCACGTCGCGGCTGGGACGGCTGCCGGCGTCACTCTGTGCCCTTCTTTCCCTTCCAGCTCTTCTGTCGCTCTTCCAGTTCGGCCTGGGTGAACGCAGCAGGGCCCCAGTGAGTGATCAGGTGAGGGTTTTTGGAACCTGAGAGACAAACATGATTTAAATACAGGAAGTACCATATTCCTCAACTAACATGATCATGTTCCCTCAGACAAAGGAGTGATTCTTCTCTGAGGGACATCCATAAACGTCACAGCGGCCAGACAACCGGAAGATGTACACGAAGGCATTACTGTGGCCTTCTCATCTGTTCAAGGGGAAGTCAGTCCAGAGAAATGTACCCTAAACAGCTTGGTTTCTGTATATTTGGACTGAAGAAGTTTCTTTGAACAATTCAAATATACATAATAAAACAGACAGATAAACTGCATAAACACATTTGAAAGACTGTCACCTGGTTCTATCAGGCGGATCAGCCCTTCGTGCTGGGCCACTTTGTCCTTCCAGCTCTTGGTCTTACTAGTTGCCATCTCCAGCTTCTTTTTCACTCCCTGAAACAGAAGATTTTGGATTAGGCAACACACACTGGTAGTTTAAGAGCCAAATAACAACGACTGACACTCACTACCTGCTGTGGATTTCTCGTTAAGCCCTCCCAGCCACTCTAAGCAGAACTGTCAGCACTCCCACTTTACAGGTGTGGAAACTAGGATTCGGAGCAGGCAAGTGACCTGCCTGAGGTCACACAGAGGACCTAATCCACACTAATTACAGATGAGTGTAAAGTCCTGTGTGCCAGTTACAGCGGCCTGCCTCTTGGCTCCAAATCCACCCTCCCTTGTCCTGCTGGGATTCTCGGTAAGTCTCCCCCTCCAGCTGGCGCCAGTTAAGCTCCACCAGCAGAGGGGACAGAAGGGACACTGAGGGAGGAAGGGGCTCGGCTTCCTAGTTCCCCTGTGCTCTTCTCAGTGGCTCCTGTGGCATGTGGGACACTGGGGTGCTCACCCAGGGAGTTTCAGTGGCACCTTCCTGTGGCAGCTTAGGCCAGTGCCCCAGAGGCGGCCTCCCAGTGAGTTCGGCGGGCACAGCACCTCCACGGGCTCTCCTGCCACCCAGTGGGCCAAGGAGGTCCAGATTCCAGCACTGGGCTTACAGGGACCCTCTTCCAGATGTGTCCTTCCTGGGTGCTCTGCCTCCGTCCTGGGGGCAGTGGCTGCTTCCTGCACCTGCCATTCCCATGTTCTTAAGATTTTTATCGCTTCGTAGTTAATCCCTGTTATAGTTACTACTTCTTTATATTAAATTTCCCAGTTCAGTTTCTGTCTTCTGATTGTGTGGTTTCCACCTCCTGACTAGACTCTAGCTGATATGCCTCATCACCTGTAAAAGCTTCTTTCTTCTTACTTACAGCTAAACAAATGTTCTTATTAAAAAATGTTTGTTTCTAACAGTTTAAATGCACACATTTGCCGGGGTAAGTGTACCTCATATTGCTCGAGCGCCTCCTTGCGCTCCAACTCCAGCTGCGCCAGCTGCGCCATGGCTTCTTGCAGGGCCTGCTCCTTCATGACGCGCTGGTTCTCCAGCTCCTGCTTCTCCGCCTCTGTCATCTGGATGGCCTGCTGCTGCTCCAGGTGCCACCTCTCCAGCTCCGCCCTCTTGGAAGACTCTTCCTCCAACAATCTGCAATGTGGGAGCCCAGGATCGAAGGTGCCCGGGTCACACCTGACCCCGCACGTGACGGAGGCACTTCGAGCAGAAAAGAGTATCTGAGGTCATCTAGCCTCTGTCATTACAAGGAGGAAACTCGGAGCCAGAGAGGCCCATGTTCGCAGGAAGGCAACGTCACCCACGTGTCCTGCTCCAAACTCTTTTTCACCCTCTTTTGGAAAAAAAAGTAATAACATTTAGAAGGACTTAATGTGCCACGAACTGGGCCAAGAGTTGTGTGTTTTCTACATTAATCCTCACAATAAGCTGAAGTACTATTATTATCCCCATTTTAGAGATGAAGAAAGTGAGGCACAAACGTTAAGCAGCCTGTCCTAGGTCATTTGCCTGGCAGGTGGCAGGGCCAAGTTCTGAAATCTGCCTGGTTACTGTAACATTAAACATTTTTCATCTAGTAAAAATGTTTCATCTAGGAAAGGCTGACATCTGAACTCATAAAGGTGAGGGAAGGAGCTAACAAAATGTAGAATAACAACAGATACCATTTATTGAACAATTACTATATGCCAAGCACTTGACGTTCATCATCGCCAACCCCCCCAAAACAAGGCACTATTTCTACGTTAGATGGAGCAATCAAAAACCAAACTCACAAGTAGCAATGGATTTCAACCTAGGTCTGTGTGACTCCAAAATGTTACAATAATAGGCTGCCAATCTGCGCATTTCCAGGTACATAGGTATTTAAATAACCTAAACTAACAGACAGGCCAAACCTGTACCCAAAGCACAGAAACTGTGGTCAGATGCCAGCCCAGGGCAGGATGCACCTCTAGTGTCTGGACCATCAGTAACAAGTCCCACAGCAGGCCAGTCACTACCACCTAAAACCAACAGCAAAGGAAGTGAAGTAACAGATTGCACACCCCTTATCTGACCACCCTCCAACTCCTCCACCCCACCCTCCAACCACAGCACTGTCAAAATTCCCCCTACAACACCCTGCGAGGTGGTTACCCAATTCAACTTAGATACTCTGTGCGGTCGGCTGCTCACTGCTGCACCGATCAGGCCAGTTTATTTACAGGCAGCCTCAATCCTTAGAAAGTGCTTCCTCAGCTAAGATAAGCTCTCCCATCTCCTATCCCTAGCTCCACGAAGGGCCAACCTGTGCCCCTTGGCCTGTGTCTTGGACTGTGATGGCGGCACCTGAACACACACTACAAATGGGGTCCAACCAGTGCATTTATTTACTTGCTCCACCTGGATCTACTACCCACCTTCCGTGGTCTTTTCTAGGTACTGGGGGTGCAGCAGTGAATGAAACTGGAAGGAACCCTTTCTGCATGCCAGCGTAAAAGTATGGAGGGGGGATGGATGTTTGCAGTGTTTAGGCTGCCCGGCTTCTGAGTCCCCTTCACATTCTAGAAAACTTGGCACAGTAGGTGTCTTGACAGAGAGTAGGACGCATGCCCCACCTCAGAAGCCACAGGCGACACCTGCCCTCCCACCCCTCAGCAGCCAGGACACGGTGAAAGCTGGAACTGGGCCTGGCTAAGCAGCTGCCTCTCTTGGATCTTTGACTCTGAGGCAACTGACACAAAGAAGCAGAAACAGTAGAGAACTTATCTTGCTGGTGGCAGCAATATCCACTATCGAGTGGTGGCAGGGGCAACCACTGACATGCAGTGCTAATGTTGGCATCGGCGGCCTTCTGACTGGACTCTTCCCGTGGCCTGGGCTGGGCTGTGGTTTAGGCGGCTCGGCCACCCTTGGTTCCTGTCTGTGTTCCAGGCCTGGCCACCTGCTTCTCTGTGGAACTGGTAGATTACTCAAGAATCTTCCAAGAAAGTATTTACTTTAGCTAACCCAAGTTGATTTCTGTGGTTTGCAAACAAGCCCCTGACCAAAGAATTTAACCTCTCTGTGCCTCAGTTTCCTCATTTACAGAAAAGATATAGGAACGACACCCACCATCTGTTTGCTGATGCATTAAACACGATAGTGCCTATCGCGTAGAAAGTGCTGGCTACATAGCAGCTCTTATTACAGAGGGCCTGTTGCCTCATTAGCTCCGGATCCTTCACACTCACTGAGGCTGCCTGAGAGCACATGAGGTCTTTGGCAATCACATCACAAGGAGGTAAAACTCCTAATCTTTTCCAGTGAATTGCTATTTAGCCAGGTCTCCTGCATCCTATGCTTGTTCTATTGATATTTTAAACGATGTTCTTGGTATCAAACCATCATTCCAGCCTGTCAGTATCTTTTACGAACGCTTATTTTGACATTCTACATATCATCTGTCTTCCTCATCAGCAAACGAGATAAAGGAACAGAAGCCAGCACTCTGACTACAAAGCCAGGCCTTACATCGAGCACTTGGCAAGCATTATCTCACTTAACCTTCACAGCCCTACGAGGCTGGCAGCTAGCTTTATTTTACAGACAAGGAACTGAAGGCTCAATGCAGTGGAATAGCTTTTCCAAAATCACACAGCTAGAAAGCAGCTGGGAATCAAACACACTCCAGAGCTCGGTTCCTAACTGCCTTCAAATACATGAAAAGTACTATCACACAGGAGAGACTGTTGCTCCACGTGGCCCCAGTGAAGAGAACTTGGACCTATTTCCTCATTCACAAAACACGCCGTGGGTGCCTGCCGTGTGCCAGGCACTGCGCCAGCTGCTGAGAACACAGACAGGACTGGAGTATGCTACGAGGCCTGACAGGCCCAAAAGTGCAGTGGGTGGGAGTTATAGCGGGATGGATTATGGCTCGGCCTCAGAACTTTCCAATAGCTGGGTTGTCAAATGAACAGTTTTCTTCTGAGTTCCCGTTCAGAAGAGGCTAGATAACCTTCAGATTACACATCAAAAAAGCAAACTTCAATTTTAATATATTTAAAAAATGACGAGACCCAGATGGCTCAAGTCAAAGTCCTTGAACTTTGTAAATGTAAACAATTTAAGTATCTCTGGGGAAACTTAAGACACTGACAGAGAAAGGGTCACCCACTGGAAGAACAGGATGCCAAGTATTCTAAGAATGACTCGCTATTGCTGCCCTTGACTTTCCTACCCAGAAAGGCCTATTGTGACAACAGGACAGCCTCTGGGACTTCGGCAGAGGGACTTGTCTCACTTTAAAATGACCACTAGAGGGCATCAGTTTATCCATTTCAAGTTCCAAAAGCTAAGTTGAAAGAAAAATAATTTAGAATAGTAAAATAATTATATTCATAAAGTGGCCTTTGCACACCAAGAAAAAGTTAACTTTTGTGCAGTAATTTCAGCTTACTGGTGCAAATCTGTACATATGTACTAGCTACATTTGCATTCAAAAGGTTGAAACCATTTTGCTAGGCACTTAAATCTGAGTGTACAGAACAATTGGCCAGCGTTTTTTAAAATAACAATACTCATGCCTGGCTCCTACCCACGGATATTTTGACTCAGTAAATGTGGGACAGGCCCTACATGTGTATTTTTTTAAAAGCTTTGCAGGTGATTCTGATATTTAGCACTGGTTAAAAACTACAAGTTTTATTATCCAAAATTGTCCCTTATTCAAAAGATCACTCATTCGATAAACAGAAAATAACTAATACTTCAAAAGCTTTCCAGAGTTACCTGGTTCCCTCTGTGATCTAATCTCTGCTGTGTTCTAATCAACCTCTCTCAAAACTGCAGGGAAGTAATACATACGGCATAGCTCACCTGTAAATTCTCTGCAGAGGGTAATCTATCTATAAACTCCCAACATACCAAAAATTGTAAAGAGGCTCAAAAACCATCCTGTGTCCCTTAGAATGCCTCTTTTTGGAAGTCACATGGGACTCAAGCCTTCCCAATAAGTGGTTCTTGTGCCAACATCACTGCCAATGGCAACTGGGTGTTAGCTCCAAGAATCTAGTTAACATCACAGAACATGGAACACACACTTGTGGGCCTGCAAGTGCCAGGTAATATGCTAAGCGTTTAATTTTCTATTTAGAAGATAATTTTTCCTTAACAGAATTACAATTGTCAAAACCTGTTTATTTTTGAAGTCATTTTGGCGAAGTATACAACAAAGACCTCTTCTCCTCCTGCCTAAATATTAAACAAACCTCCTTAGCTGCTCCACGTGGAACGGCAGCCATGGGAAATCTACCCCAGGCCGTCCCACCACTGTTCCCCAAAACAGGGGGTCACAGCTCAAAGCCTGCATGCACCTGCACTGACCCGCTGCTGCCACCAGGTAAGTTTTTAGTGCTGACAAGACATCTTAAAGGAACACAAATGGGGAAGCAGTCAGGAGCTGAGTGGAGAGCCGAATGCCCGCTGGGGCCTTCCTTCCACCTCGTCTTTCCTGCTGCTACAAAGGCCAAAAGTTCAGAGTTCTCACCCGAGAACACGACTATCATAAATAGCAAGCCTGACTTTAAAAGCTCTAAGGAGGGAGGGGGGGGGAATCTAGGTTTTAAGAGCTTCTAAAAGTAAGATTTCAAATAATTATTATTTAAGGAATGTCACAATTCCTGAATGACCAAATGGAAACTGCTTATTTCCTCCTTACCCCCCAAAAGTGGCTGCAGCTCTGGCGTGAAGCAGGCCCTTCTCCCTACCAAGGGCCCTTCTCTGGTCTGGAACAGGCCGATGAAGCCAGGGTCTCACCAGAGCTGATCCGGGCCCACGGACATTCTGGAATATGACTAGGGGCACCCCACCCAGCATACCCGAGGCTGCTCTAGGATAGATACAGGTCGGTCTGCAGCCCAGAAGCAAGGCTCTGCCCGTGCCCCAGCCTGAGGACAAACAATGCAGCCACCGAGCCGCCAGGGCGTCCCATCTGGCAGACCCTCTCCCTCTCCGCCAGCGTGAGCCACTCCTGGAAGCCGGAGGTAAAGGCGCGGGGCACAAGCTGATCGGGCACCTGGCCTGGAGCTTCCGCACGGTCTCTTCGTCCTGCCGGGCTTGTCTCTCGTCCTCGAGCGCCTCCTGCAGCTTCAGGTACATGTCTTCCAGCTCCTGTACTCGCTGCAAATACTGTTCCAGTTCACAGGACTTTTGGGCAACCTGTTCTTCCATCTGCTGTCTGATCTGATGGTACAAAAGGGTCATGTTTAAATGCAGGTGCCTTCACCTTCAGGGACACCCACCCACTCCACCACCGTCCTGAGGGGTTGCCACAGCCCACAGCTGCAGCCCATCAGGAGGGGGGGCCCTGCCCTTCAGTCCTTGATCGGAAAACAGAGGAATAGAGCGCCCCGCTCCCAATGCCAGCACCAGGACCACACCTGGGCCTGGGACGAACTGCAACCCCAGAGCCACTTTCCTGCTCCAGTACATTCTCCATCCCTTCCACTCCACACTTCAGAATCAAGTGAAGAAAAAAAACACGTTTCCCTGTAAAATTTCTCTTTAAATTCTTTTTTGTCTTAAAGCTACAAGCTCTTTTCCAACAGAGTCTTCTCTAAAAGGAATGAACCTTTCCCCAGGCAGAACTGCCAAAGGGAAAGGAAACACTGGTGGGCAGAGACTCCTGCACTTACCTAGCACCTAGCACCCCCTCCGTCTCCCTCCCTAGGGCACCTCCAGCCCTGGGTGGGATTCAAGCAGGTAACTTAGTGTCCTGACAAGTTTATGGTCTCTCCCTTCCGGATTTAAGAGTTTGAATCTCTGCCTTAACAATGAAAAGACAAGGACATCCTAAATATAGCAGCACACATGCACATATGTGTCTTCAGTTTATAAACTATTTTCACTTGTATTAGCTCACTTCATCCTCACAAGTCACGGCAGATCACATGATAACCCCTCTAATTCAAAGAAGAGAAACAAATGATCAGTAAGCAGCAGAGGAAACAAACCCAGACCCCTGGCAGTGTGTGTGGGACCCCTTTACATCACAGCTGCCCTCCTCTCACAACTTGAGTATGTCCACCTCAACTCTAAGCCACAGAAAGTTCCCAAAGGCAACATGATGAGAACCTGTTTAATAGGCGCCGGGCCCCGCACTCTCCCACACGTTTAGGACTCAGTGTGAGAAGACCTGCCAACTACCTGAATCCTGGGTCCCTTGGGGACGGGAGCCTCTAGGATGAATCAGAGCTGCCGAGAGCAGCAGACCAGAATTCCTACGTTCTCATGATTTCAGAAGCCTCTACTTTGCTCATTAGAGGAGATATGTCATGGAACCTATGCGTACTTTTTCCACAGCTACTTATTTCCCAAGCGAAGACTCTTTGAGAAGGAAAAGGGATGCTATTAATAATTATACCAGGATGGCAGGGACTATCCCAGTCAAACCAAGACATACAATCACTCTAACCACAGCACTTACCACCCCATCCCTTAAATTTCCGCTTCAGGGTCTCGAAAGCAAGGCTTATGTCTTTTACCTTTACATCCCTGGCATGGTGCCCGGCATAGAGAAGGTGCTCGATAAACTGATAATGGACGAAGGAACACACACATAATGTTCCCAGTAGCCCACTGCAAGCCAGTAGCAGAGCCAAGCTGACCCGAGGGCCTCACTGCAGCCTCCCAGGCCTCCGCCCTCCAGCCCAGGCTGGCTCTGAGCGGACGCAGCAGGAGCCTCCAGCCGCGTGGTACTCACAAGCTTCTCTCGCTCCAGCTCTGTGCTGAACCTGGCCTGCAGTTCCACTTGCGTCTCAAGGCGTTTCTTTTCTTCTTCTGCTGCCCGAGATGCTGCTTCTTCCAGTTTCTACCCAATGAAAACCCATCCACAGAGAAGCAGGACATGTTAGAGTGGAAGTGCATTTGGAGAGAGAAAGGGTCCCACTTAAACATATGCAAGAATCCAAACATTTTTAACACTCAATAAATATGGAAAACTTTTAGATCTGCTGGAGTTCCACTCCAACAGTTTCCCCAGTCAACATACAGAAGAAATTAGTTAAATGAATGACTACTGACAAGTCTGAGCAACATTTTGCAATGGAGTCACTGCGTTACATTCACTCGCAAATGCATTCATGAGGTTCGAGATCTATTTCTTGAGTTCGTCCTATACAGTTTTGTCATCTTACACATTACTCCTTAAAGCTTTTACCACAGCTCAATTTCCAGAAGGATGGCCTGAGGAACTCCATGGACCCTTTCCCTAGTGAACCAACGATTAAAAACAAAAACAACCATTTAAAGTCTCTGAGAATTATCCTAAGAGCATACAGCAAATGGAGAACATTGATCCAAAAAAATCACCTAAACCTCAGCAGTGACAGTGAGAGTCTACGTTGAGCCACAGTGCAGCCCCTTCTCTTCCCCCTATGAGAAGGAAGCGCTGCCCCATGACAACGGAACCTGGAACACAAGGCTCCCCCACTCCTCGCTGCCAGTCCGGGGCCGCGGTATCTCCCCAGGAGGGGCTGGCCACCGGTATTTCTCATCCGCCCAGCTTCATGTTGCAGAAACCCTGTTCCAGGCAAGAGCGGCTGAGAGGCCTGGGGCTCTCTTCCTCCACCAGCCCCCACTTACAGGGTAGATGTTCTACCTGAAGTATGACAGGCATGAGCACCCTTATCCCAACTCACTTGGAGGGCAGAGGCTCCACACTGGGAGAGGCAAACTGAGACCAGAGGTGACCACCGAGCAACAGCTCATCAAGCAGAGTATCCCTCCAAGAGAAGCAGACCACTGTCTCCACCCCAGCTGCAGAGCATTTGCCCAGGGAGAAAGGCAGGCTCTGAAGCTCTCCCCAAAAGAACTAACTTTATTTAAAACAGTGTAAGGAGTTCCAGCCTTAAGATCTCTTGAAAACAATGGGAGGAAATCTTTTCACTAAATTCCTTTTTATATTTTTAAATTTTGAACCATCTGATTGCATTACCTATTCAAATAATTATATTTTTTAAAGAAACAAAGATAGAAATAAAAGCTATTTTGGAAGGAGGGATGGATAGATAGAACACAGTGAAAATACTCTGAATGATACTCTAACGCTAGATACATGTCATTATACATGTCCAAACCCACAGAATGTAGACCACCAAGAGTGAGCCCTAACATAAATGATGACTCTGGGTGATATGTGTCAGTGTAGACTCATCAATGGTAACAAATGTACCACTCTGGTGGGGGATGTTGAGAATGGGGAAAGCTATGCATGTGGGGGGACAGGAGGCTATGGGAAATCTCTGTACCTTCCCCTTAATTTTATCGAATCTAAAACCGCCCTTAAAAAATAAAGTTTTTTAAAAAATTATTTGATTATGGCCTTTAAAAAAAAAATCTGTTAATTTATTTAAAAAATGAAATAAAAAACACACACCATGATTTCTTATTCCTTCTTCTGGATCAACTAAGGCCTAGGAAGGCATACAAAATTCACAAATATGTAACCTGATTCCAGGTGATTAAAATATTTATCTGAGCAGCATTTTTTTCTAAAAACGCTTCAATGAAAAATTAGAGAATTTTATTCCTTTCTCTTTATTTTATTTTAGAGAGAGAGAGAGAGGAAAAGGGAGGGAGCAGGAGGGGGGAAAGGGAGGGAGGGGGAGAGAGAGAGAGAGAGAGAGAGAGAGGTGTCTATGTGAGAGTGAAATATCGATCAGCCTCCTGCACATGGCCCCAACCAGGGATCAAACCCTCAACCTTCGGTGTATGGGACGACACTCCAACAAACTGAGCCACATCGGCCAGGGCAAGAATTATATTTCTTGACACACACAAAAAATGAAAGATTATTAAGGGATCTGTAATAATTTTCCAACACTTATCCACCAAATCCCAAATCAGTTGCTTATATAATTCCATAAAGCTGGGTAGTAGGAAAGCTGTCTAAGTGGCCGAGGCCTGGTCAGCTCAGGCAGGCACTCACACAACACGGAGCAGGGCACCCACATGCTGCTGGGAGGCCGGGTTCAGGAAAATTTAAAAGGACACCAGGGGGATGAATCTCAAATGCATGATGCTAAGCGAAAGAATCCAGTCTTGAAAACAAATATACCGAATTATTCCATTTATACGACAATTTGGAAAAGGCAAAAATGCAGGAACAGAACAGGCCACTGGTTTCCAGGCGTTGGGGTGGGGGAGGGCCTGAATACAAAGAGCGGTGTGAAGAAATTCTTTGGGCACTGGAATTGTTCCACATTCTGTCTGTGGAAGTCACAAGAACCTAGGCATGTATAAAAACTCATAAAGCCATACATAAACCACAGACTTGCTGTTTGCCATTTCTTTCAAAGACAGAGGACACAGGAGCTTCTAAAATACTGGCGATATTCTATCTTAACTTGGGCAGTAGTTTCAGAAATAGTCGCTGTATTTGTACACACACATTTCACACTCTCCTTTGTATGCATGACCCATTTCGTAATTTTTAAGTTACAAAGGAAGGATGCCAAGCCCACATCCCCACTCTCCTAACACCCACTGCTGCTCTGAGCACCGTGGGTGGAGGAAGCAGCAATCTCATACTGCAGGTGCTCCTCCCGGCCTGTGGCGGGAGTATTTAAAGAGAATGTACTACAGCAGAAGGAGGCGAGGGGCAGGAAGAAGAGCAGCAAGACCTAAGGAGCTGTCTTTATTTATTATTATTACTATTATTATTATTACTATTATTATTATTCACCTGAGGATATTTTT